TTCTCTCTCTCTCTCTCTCTCTCTCTCTCTCTCTCTCTCTCTCTCTCTCTTTACATGGTATACATATACTCGTCCGGTAAAGTTCCAGTTTCATAATAGAACAGGAAAGCTGTTCTCGAAGCTGTTAAAACAAGAATTTTCTTCCTACTCTGGAATCAAGTTGAAATTTTATCATTGAAGATAAAAGTTTTCAATCGTAATTTTTTATTTATTTCGTCAAGGCCAATTTTTTTTTCGCATCGTAATAAAATTCATCGCGTAATAATTGTCATTATTTTTTTCATGAAAATATGAAAATATATACATAGCATATATTATAATTCTATGAAGATAAAACATTAATAACCAGAAGCGCATAAAACATATTTAATCGCAACGGCAATTCTCTTCAATAGTTTTATATAATAGTTAGCAATAGTTAGCAATTAGCAATTTTTATCACGTGAAAATCTGCAATGAAATCAGGATACTTATCGGCAGCAATTGTCAAATATCGATATTTTAAATATATCATTCCAATAATTTATAATTAGATATCTTTCGTTAGACGAAAAGTCTAAAAGCAATCCAGAGATTGTGCCTTGTTGATTCACATACTGTGGCCTGGATATTGCGTATTTTTCGCACCAGACCTAGATTCCGATGAATAATCGAATCACTAACAAGTCGCTGCCGGCGAGCACCGAACATGGTATTTACCGTACATGCATGCACGTATAGTCTTGGTCATCGTTCAAGCATTAAGGACATTCTAATTATACGTCACCAAAATAAGAATAATGGGATTAGATGGTATTACGAAATTTTTGACAAAAAAGAGATCTCTATTTCTTATTCTGTTTTATAATTAAACGAATACTGTTCTCGATTAATTTATCGATATTAAAATATACAATGATAAAGCAAAGAAATATTTTTAAATTGTATTTTTATTATTATTATATAACATGGTACGTAATAAATTTTTTTAAATAATTGAATGAAATAATTACGAGGAAAATGTTTGCGTAAATTTTAATGAATCTTTAGAAAATTTTAATTTTTATTTATAAAATTATTTTGAATACTAAATTAATCAAATAAATTGATTAGAGTAAAAAAAATATAAAAAAATATAGTAATTAATTACTACTAAAAAAACAAAAACTAATGTCCATTTAAGTGCAGTTGAACGTGTTTCAAGTTAAGTTTCACAGTCACGAATACCAACCACTCCGGGTGTACCAGTTTCGAAACAGGATGATTACAGAAAGTAGGACCTGGGTTGGGTCATCGGCAACGAAAGTAGGATCCAAATGAAAATTCGTGGAGAAAGAGACCGATTGCAATCTGCTGCTTCTCTTTTGTGACTTTCCAATACGAGATTATTATTTTTTCGTTATTATTTATAATTCTGTTGTATTTTTTCATGCAATTCCAAGTGTTTACAATTTGTGATCAATAACTAATATTTTAAAATTAACTAACTAATATAATAAATACATATCATTAAACAATATAACAAATAATGTATAATTAAATAAAAATATCATGCACTTTTTGAAATAATATAGATTTATTAATTGAATAAATTGAATAAATCAAAACAGAATATAGAATTAAAGAACTACAATTATTTTTTCAATTAATTATTATTGCTATTATCGAAACTGACAAATTATACGCATTAATGCATTACATGCATAATTTTAACAATTATAAAAAATATTATTAAGAAACTTTCATGTTTCAAGATAGATAGAAAGATAACTAATTTGATTGAATATTTACATATCTATTGTTACTATTTTAATTAAATATTTTTTTTTAATTAAATATTTTAATGCAACATCTGGCGTATAATTTTTTTTTAATTTCATTGAATTTTTTAAATTTCTTGAATAAAATAACAAAAAAATATTTTTGTCTATTTAATGAAAGTTTTATTTCTCCCTTGATTATCATGAATCACTGGTGATCCATAACCACGGAAATACATCAAATAAAAGTAACAAAAAAGTCAAAGTGAATGAACGTAATGTTACATCTATTAATATGAAAGTCGACCCTCGCCAGATGAATCTTTGTCGGTGAAAGTTTAGGAACATCTGCTATAAATCATTCTTTAATATTTCCTTAAATGAATCATTTCAAATAACATAAAAAAAAAACGTTCTTTTTGCACAAATTATAAATCAATTCATGTTTTATCTACATTGGAACGTCTTCGAATGATAAAAGAAAGTGGAACTTTAAGATAACAATAACGAAAATATTAATTTTTTTAACTCACATTAATTAATATCTTTTTATTTTTATTTGACAAATATCTAATCTTAACAGTGAATGTTCTTATCAGCATTATAGATATTTAATAAATTTATCGAATTAAATCATTATCTTTTATTTTATATATAAATATCATTTGATATGAATCTTTTATTATCGATAATTTTATAATTTTATTGGTAAGATTGCACAATGAGATCAATTTTGTCGTCCCTTTCTCTTTTCGAGATCTATTAATTAATATATATTAACATAATTTTTTTTCTTTCAAATTTATAATTCTTTTATTAATTAACGTATTCGCTTTCGATTTTTTTCTTTCTTAAATAAATATATTCCATATGCTTCGATGTAGAAAGGAAAGTGAAACTGCTTACTTATGTACTACTTTATTTCCGCAACGATTATTCGATTTGCAACTTGTATCAAAGATTTAAAATTTATATTTTATTCTATTATCTAATTGGTAATTATAATTATGAATTCTATTATAATCATTATTATGTAATACTTTAATTTAATTCCTTAAATGAAATAATTATTTGAAACAAAAAAAAATATAACTTTTAAAAAGAAAATTTTTTAATGCTTATACTTCTTCTACTAGTGATATTAAATAAGAACAATTTCAAATATTCTATTAGGCATTTAACCATTTTTTATAAAAAATTGTATCATTTTCTTGTAAAACTATTCTAAAAACTGATATTATATATTACGATATTTTTAATATTGTCGTGAATATCCATTATGTTAAATCTTCAACATAATGAAATTGGCAAATTTGGAAAACAATAACAGACATAATTATTATTCGAATAAATCTTATTCCCAGAAGATAATGATGACAACTGATGAATACATATTTCCTATTTTTTTTTATTTCGCTTGTTATCTTTTGTTTTTTTTTTTATTACCATCACTTCTTTTCATAAATTTAATAGAAATTTAAATTATATAATATACTAAAAATTTAGATTATATTAGATTATATGTACGATATGTAGTTAAAATAAATTAAAAATTATAATTTTAAATTATTTACGAAAAACCATTTTCTTTTATTTGCGTTACTACATCCTTTTAACATATCTCATGTACATAAATATTATATCACATGTCAATTTCAAAATTATACTCATAATTTATGCTTTGTCTTCTAATGAAAGATGCTTAAGTAATTTTCATTATTTTAAGCAACAAATATTATTTTTAAACATTATATTTTCAGCAATAAAAATAGTATATAAAAAAAAATAAATAATAAATAAAAAATCATTTTTCAATTATTTCAGTTTTTAAAAAGTACTTAAATAAAGAAAAACAAACAGTATATAAAGTATAACAATTAATTTATTTAGTTACAGAGTTTCAAATAATTAAAGAAGTGATAACATGATGTGAAAGTGTTTTCCCCTTGAAGTTTCTAATCTGATCATCGTCAACATCTGTCATCTATCTACAATCCATAGAGATATGTTATAATGAAATATTATACTTAAGTGTGTCTATATAAGAAGGTGCAACGAGATATTCATTGAAAATGGTTATATGTTAGAAAGTAACGACACCTTTCACAAGTGTGCAAGTAATCAAATAATAGACGGCCACGCATTGTGCACAACAGTGACGCGTTTTGTCAGGGAATTGCAATTTGTACAAGTGCTTGTATGATTGCTTATACGATGAAATTTTACTTTTACATCATAGTTAGTGAAAATCAGTTGATGATTCATTTAGAATATAAAGAATTTTATGTTTTCAAAGACATTACATATAAATGTAATACATATAATATGTGTATTTATATTATTTTCTTTTTTTTTAAATAAATATAGTGGATGAAATATTTTTAAAAAATTTCTTTTAACAAAAAATTATAAAAATATTACACAATAATTAAGAAGATTAATTGTTTAGATTTTTTGCTCTTTAAGAAATCTAATTTGCAAAATCTTTCGGATAGAAATTTCCCATTTATATATATTCCTAATGATCGAGTTACGGATTTCTTTTTCTAGATGAAACAACTACAAGATTTTATTACATAAATTGTTCTGTTATATAACCAAACATAATATTTCCCAGTGAATGCAATATATTAATTCTATATCATGTTTATATAATATATTTTATATAATTTCAAAAATTAATTTGTAAAACATTATTATAAAACATTATTAATGACTACTCAATATGTTACGCTATTTAATTAATTTTATTCATCTATATCATAATAGTAGTAGTAATAAATTTAGTAATAATATAAATTATCATAAATTATTGTGTGTTATTTAGAATATATTAAATCATATATTAAATTATGTTTTATTTAGAATTAATTAAAATAATTTAATATCATACTTTATTTTATAAGAATATTTTTATAATTAGAAAAATTTAGGAAATTCGAAACTTTAATTTCTTGCCATTAAAAATTAGATTTTATAATGCAATAAAAAAATTGCAAATATGGATTTATATAAATCCATATTTTTATACAAAAATATAAATAAAGATAAAGAAAAACAATATTTTATATTTTTGACATAATATATATGTTTTATATATTTATATTTAAGAACATATTCATACATATATTTTCCATACTAATATCATACATGTTATATAAAATATTTATTTCATCAAATTAATTTCATTTATCGAAATTCTTCTATCATTATTTATTATATTGATAATAATATGTATGCTGATTATAAGCCATATTAAATCATGCTTTTATTTTTCTTGAATTGTTAATTTAAATGCAATTTGTATTTTGAACAATTCATTTGTGATTATTGCAGCAATAAGATGAATTTTGAATTGTTTTTAAAAATTGTTTTTAATATTTAAAATATATAGAATTTCAAAAAATAGAATATAATTAATGAATTGCTTCCAAAATAATTTTAATTTCATTATTCATCAAACTAATGAATAAAATACTTATTGCAAAATTTAATAAAAATATAAAATATGAAAAAAAATCAATAATTAAATATATAATTATAAAATCTTATAATATAAAAATTTTGGTGCATAAATTAATTTTTACCGATAAATTAATTAAAATATTATTCAATTAAAATATAATAATAAAATATATATTAAAATATTAATCAATTAATGCCATCGAATTTAAAAAAAATTTTATTTATTTATATTGTAATTTATATTACAAAATATAATAATCGTAAAACGTATTATTTGTACTTTATTGTTATATAAAAAAAATTTGTTTGTAAAACAATTTCAAATATATTATTTCTAATTATCCATGTTTAATTATTTTTAATAATTAGTACTTTCAATAATTATTGTTACTTAATATTACATATTACTTAATGTTAATTGTTAATAATATTGTTAATGTTATAATGTTAATAATATTGTTATGTTTTATTTTATATCATTCATTAAAATTTTTTTGATATATTTATATATTTAATCTATATTTGCACATTTTTCATTATATAATAATTTTATAATAATTTTTGAAATATAATATAATATTATATGTTTTTAATATATTATAATTTTATAATATTATTATAAAATTGTTTTTTTCATATTTATCATACACAAATATCCGCATTAATAATATATTACATATATATTATTAGAATGCGGATATTTGTGTATGATAAATATGAAAAACAATTTTATAATAATATTATAAAATTATAATATTATTAATAAATATATGTATAAATATATATATATAAATTATATAATTTTATTTAATTTTGTATTTATAGATTTTCCCGGTATGTGCTTTGCCTCGACAAGATGTGCTACCATTGAACCAACAAAATCTTGGGAACTGACACCATTTTGTGGTCGTTCTACTTGCGTACCTGCTGATGACAATTCTGGTCGACTTTTCGAACTTGTCGAAGACTGTGGACCACTTCCAAAAGCCAATCCGAAATGCAAACTCTCAGATAAAACTAATAAAACCGCTGCATTCCCTCATTGTTGTCCCATTTTCGAATGCGAAGAAGGAGCAAAACTTGAATATCCAGAAATTCCAACTTTACCACCGCCTACGGAAATCGTAGAGACCGAAAGACCTTCAGAAGAAATTCCGACAAAAGTTTAAATTTTAAAAAAATAAATCATAATCTTTACAAATTAAATTGAAGAATCGATTAAATTGAAACAGAAATTAAAGATTTATTGTAATTTGAAATAATAATTTTAATTAAAAATACATATATATTCGTAAAAAAAATATATTTTTGTCGAAAGTAAAAAAAAAAAATTATTTCTAACGAAAAATATTGTTTTATTCATTATATGTTTCATTGAAATATATAAAATTCTTATATTTATACGATGATGCAAATATGAAATTTACATTATAATATAAATGATATTATATAAATAAATATTATATAAATTATATAAATTATTACATTACGTTATATAAATAAATATATACTAGTAAAATTATCAGTAATTCGGTATCCGTTCTAAAACATTGAATTTCTTCAATTTTCTAGCCCCGGAAACCGAGACTTACTAGATGCTTTTATCTGATTTGTATGTAATTTTATTTTAAACAGTAATTATCACGTAGCAAACTAATTTTGTTTTTTTCTCTCTTTCTCAGAAAGTAGAAAATCCTATATATACAATGTAAAAACATGTGTGATTGTAATTATATGTAATTAAATTAATATCTATTTAATTAAAAAATACATATAATGTGTATTTTTATCCTATATTCATATAATAAGTATATTATGTACATAATAGTGTATACAATAATATCTTTGGTAAGTTATTAATTTTTTTTTCACATTTATTTTAGAAAAAAAAATTGTTTTGCTAAATTTTTTAGAAATTTATTTCATTATTATTTCAGTTATTTCATTATTATTAAAATTATATTTAAAAATAACAAATCGTATTCAAATTAATTATATAATATATATATAAAATATAATAAAATATAAATAATTCAAATTTAAAAAAAAATATTTACAATTAAAAATTATAATTACATTATAATTTATTACACAATATTATACAATATTGTTATACAAAGATCTAAAATTATATAATATATTTTGTGATAAAACTTTATTATATTATCTCATTAATAGTAGTAATTTCATTATTATAATTAAAAAAAAATTTAACATATGCAAATTTAAAATTATAATATACTAATTTCTTTTTTAATATATATAATAATAAAGTATCTAGCAATATTATTTTATTGAAAAAAAATTGCAAAAAGTTTATTTTATTATTATTATATTATATTATTTTTGATGTTGGTATTATAAACGGATAAATGAAGTTTTCATTTTACTATATATATGTTGGCAGCCTGGAAAAATTATTCCAGCAAAATTCGCTGTTTAACCAAATTTAATGGACGTGAGTACGAACGTGAATTGAATAGAACAAACGTAGAGATTTGAAAGGCTGTGTATTACATTAAAAATTTTTCTAATAGCTTACAACGAAAATGAGTGAACTTGTGTGGGGAATAAAAAATGGTGATTTGGAGCAAGTGCGAGATATCGTTGAAAACAAGGCAAATATATGAAATGTTAAATCATCTTTTTCTTCTGTTGCTTTTTGATTACCGCTAATCAGAAACGTCATAAAGATATCTTTCTTGGAGTTTAATATTATATTCTCCAATTTTTTTATAATTTAAAACACAAGAAAAGATTCTTATTAGCCGATTAAACTAATGATTGTAAAAATCATTTATATTTCTTTTTTAAATTCAATATATTCTTCCTTTTAAAAGTGAATAAATATTAATTCCTTTAAATATATTTTTGTTAATAGAATATTGATGTTAATCAAATGATTGATGGAAGGACACCTCTACATTATGCAGCTGATTATGGCCAAAGTGAAGTAGTCAGATATCTCTTGGAAAAGGGTGCAAATGCAAATGTAAATGTTATTAATATTAAATGAATATATGAGAGTGAAATTTAATATATTATTAAAACAAAATTTTTTTAATAAATTTTTTAAATTTGTTTTAAATAGAAAATATGCAAAAAATTTATATAGTGATTTAAATAAAATATTTTTACAGGCTACAGACAAACATGGAATAACAACATTATTGGCAGCAATTTGGGAAGGACATACAAATTGTGTAAAATTACTATTAGAAAAGGGAGCTAAACCAGATGGATTAACACCAGATGGAACTAGTTATTTGGATGCTGCCGAAAAAGATGAGATCAAACAATTGCTTAAATTTCACTAGCACAAAGCCAAACAAATCATAAAGCAATAATTTTGTTATTTTAGTATTTTAATGTTCCTCATAGGAGTATCACTATTGCTTTCTCTTAATTTTTTGCATATGACTAGACTATCATATTTATGCACTTTAAATTAAAAACAAAAAATATAGGTACACAAATGTAGTTTTATAATAATATATTGCACTTGGAGCGTATAATCATAAACTCATATTCTTATATGATTACTCTTAGAGAATTAAAGTATATATAGTTTCAGCTTTAAAATAGTATATCATACAGATTGTTTTATAAACTAACAATAGAAACAAATTTATTTTTAAAGCATGTAACATTATATAGCAAAAAATATTTTGATACATTTGTAAGAAGTAGCATCGTGTTTTAAATATTTGTTATTAATTTACAAATCAAATTTTTTTTATACATTTTTTTATAACTACTTATTAAAACAACTTTTTGTGATAAAAAGTTGTATGTATTGAAATGAATGCTCGAGATGAAAAATATACCATATAATTTAATTGTGTTTCAAGAAAGACATGTATAAATTATAAAAAAAAATTAAAAAGCTATCTTTATGAATTACATGTCTCAAAAAGTTTTAAAGGTGTATAATAATCAAAAATAATAAGCCAATGCATCATTGTTATGTATATTGTTGTATTTCATTAATCCCATATTTATCATTTATTTATTATTTATAACTATTTGTATTAACATTATGTATAAATCTTTTTATAAAAATTCTATATATCAAACTTCAGTTATTAAAAATGTAAACTATGTTTTTTTATAATCATAAAATATGCATATCTTTACTAAAATTTAATTTTCTAATATATAGTAAGATATGAATTATCTAAGATTGGAAGCTGAAATATTTTCGAAATTATTAATAATATCACTAAAGCTTTGGATAAAAATTTAATTGTTTCAAAAAAAGACATAATTTAACATAATTTTAAATTGCAAAAAAAAATTTTACATAAACTATAAATTATTAGTTTTTTTATAATATATATTCGTGATATTTGATATAATATCGAAAATTAAAAGAAAAACTTTGAAATACATGTATATATTAACATTATTTCCTTATTTATTATTAGATATTAAAAAAATATAAAGATTTTTTATGACATATAAATTTGGTAAAAACACTGTAATGATATGAACAACTTTTAGTATATTAATATATTAAATTTTTTTATTAAAATTAATATTGAATATTAAAAAATCTTAGAAACAAATATGTTTTCATATGTCAAAATATATAATAGAACATTTAAATTTCAAAAAGATAATGTTCTTATTTATCAGTTAAGTATTTTTAATTTTTAATAAAGTATTTAATAATTTAAATACTTACTGATTCTTCAAATAATTCTCATAAATTCCATTAAAAATTACTATTATATATATGAAAGATATTTATTAAACATACGAAATACATGTACGAAAATAATGAATAATATTTAAAGAATTAGAAATAGCAATTATTAATACATGGAAAAAAATAAATCAAGATTTAATAGCAAAATTTATAAAAAGTATGAGAATTTTTCAATTTATCTTTATGCATCAGCTACAAATTATTAAAAATAATTTATGTAAATGTTATAAATAAATGTTTTTCTTATAACTGAATTTATACATTTGTTCATTCTAAAAAGAATTAGTAATTCATCGTTTATAAGAATATTTAAAAAAAAATTTCATTCAATATTTTTCGTTTATTTTATATATAATTCTACAAAAATAAAAAAATACTATGATAATAAATGAATCATAAATGAAGTGAACTTATAATTTTAATTAACAATATAAAATAAATTGTAATATATTAAATATTTTAAAATAAAACTTAAAAAATATTAAAGTTAAATAATAAATATTAAAAAATTGAAATATAATATAATTTATGTTCTTTCTGTTTTTTTTTCTGTATTTTTTAGACTTATTTTATTTTATAATATTATTGATAAATAATAAAGTAAAATAATGTTTCTTTAAGAATAAAATACTTATTATATATTAAAATAATTTAAAATTGCAAATTAAGTATTAAGAAAAAAGGGAATAAACTCATTTATTATATAATCAAATTTTATTAATTTTATATAAAATATTTATACATTATAAAAGTCGACCTCTACAATTAGATGCACCACACTTGCAAATGATAACTTTACCTGGTATACTTCCAACATCATAACTATAATTCCATGTTAATTCTTGACCTGCTCTTATATAATTTAAAGCAAAAAATGCTACCCATGGAAATCTTACATCATGTGTATCAACAAATACATTCTGCACAAAAACGTTTGGATCGCATGAATGCTAAAAAATTACCAATAATTATATTTTAAATTATATAATATATTTTATATATTTTATTATTTTATATATTATATTATAATTATTATTATAATTATATAATTATAATAATAGTAAAGATAAAAATACTATTTTTTAGAAATATTCTTTTAAAAATTTTAATACATCTTACATTTAAATAACGTCCGATATTTCCAGTCGTTTTAGCATCCATTATATAAACAGCCTCATCTTCTCCAAAGAAATCTCTTACTGATTTAAATTTAGGTCTTTCAATTTGTGTTGGTTCAACTGTTGGCTCAAATCTACTTGGTTCACGTCTACCACTTCTATTTTCTTCTTCATCACTTATAGTAATCGCGTCTTGATCATTTGAACGATTTTCATTAATAGAAGTTTTCATAATATTTTCGGAAATTTTAGTAGCGCTTCCATCTTCGCTATTTTCTTCAGATCCATCTTGATTGATATCATCTCGTTTTCGTTTTCTTAGCCTTTTCCTATTATTATTC